CCCCAGATGCAGTTCTTTACACTTGTCCTTATTGAATTGTATTAGATTTCTCCCCGCCCAGCTCTCCAGCCTGTCCAGGTCACGCTGGATGGCAGCACGGCCTTCTGGTGTGGCAGCCACTCCTCCCAGTTTGGTATCATCAGCAAACTTGCTGAGAGGACATTCTATCCCTTCGTCCAGGTCATTGATGGATAGATTGAATAGAGCTGGAGCCAGCACAGACCCCTGGAGAACACCACTAGCCACAGCCCTCCAACTAGACTGCTCCATTGACCACAACTCTGAGCTCTTTCCTTCAGCCAGTTCCCGAACCATCTCACTGCCCAACGGTCCAGTCTGCACTTCCTAAGCTTGGCTATGAGGATGCCATGGGAGACCATGCAAAAAGCTTAGCTGAAGTCAAGGTAGAACACATCCACTGCCTTCCCCTCATCTATCCATCTAGTAATACCATCATAAAAAGCTATCAGATTGGTTAAGCATAACTTCCCCTTGTTGAATTCGTGCTGACTACTCATGATAAGCTTCATTTCCTCAACAATCTTTGGGAAAGGCCACCAAGAACAAGTTGTTCCATCATCTTTCCAGGGATCGAGGTGAGGCTGACCGGCCTATAGTTATCCAGGTCCTCCTTCATGCCTTTTCTGAAGACCGGAGCAACATTGGCTTTCCTCCAGTCCTCAGGCACCTCTCCTGTTCTCCAGGACTTGTCCAAGATAATGGAGAGTGGCCTGACGATGACTTCCACCACCTCCCTCAGCACTCGTGGGGTCTCAAGGGTCTCCTATCCTGACTGGCTTTGTATTAGGCCAATTACTGATCTTCAGTGTCTTCTAGAAATACAGAAATCATCTTTAATTCATCTCACTACCACACTCCTTTTCTATCTTGGCAAATATACACTTACTTCCTTTGCACCCTTTCCGAACACCCCTGTAAAAGGTCACATCCTATGACAAGCTTTTTAATAATGGCTGCTGCATCAGAAAACCTACTCTTCTCATTTTCAAGATCACTGAGGCTATCAACATCATACACGATCATACACATCATACAAGTCCTCTACACGAGCTGAATACTACATGCATAAGTGTCACTGCTCATCCCTTTGGTTTTCAAGTACTTCCAAGTTGGAATCTGCTTTTTCTCATTCTACACTGCCTTTCAACAACAGTGCCCTCTAACCCATCTACACAGCTCCTCTTTCTCTACTTACAATTTCACTGTTTAAATATAGTCTGCTACAGCAACCTCTGAGAACCCGCCTACTGCTTGACTCACAGAAATGACAGATTTTAGCCTCACTTGAGAAATCAAGACAAAATCTCCACATGACCATCACCTATAAATACTGCTCCAAATACTGGAGTTTGACCACTATATAACAGTCAGACTTCCATTGCTTAGACTTTCAGGACCAAGACTCTAAAATACAAATGGGGTTATGGTTACAAAGACTGTTTAGATTCAAAAATCAAAATGCTCAGAACTTGGTCTGTTTTAATAGTTTAAAAATCATTCCACAAATATGCAATGGCATAAAGTCTTCACTGGTGATCAATTCTCAATAACATGCATAATTAATGTATTTTAAGGTTTTTACCTGGGAGTGGTGGAGTTTGTTTTTCAGTTCTTTCGACTGCCACCTCTTCGACAGTTTTAGAAGTATCATCTGCATTCTTTACAGGTGTAGAGACAGCTCCTGGTTTAGTTACTCTCTCATCTTCTCTGCTTCGAAGACTATATCAGAAAAAAAGATTCCACTCTGCATATAGAATTGTTTCTATGACCTTAGTCTACTAAAACTAAAGAATAAATTCTTTCATTCAAAGTCCACTTCTGGTGGCTTTACCAATTACGATTTAACAAGGTTTTTTTCTTACATTATCATGTTGTTAATAATTTTTACCATTTCGTTCCTAACTTCATGTTAATAAAGTATTTCTCTACATTTGGCTATTTAGCAAGAGTAAGGACATGGGCACACAGACTGCTCTCTGCTTTAAGCACAGAAATAACACATACATGCTGTATATTGGAACCTATAAAAAATAGAGAAGCAAAGGGAAGAAGGGGAGAAGAGCAGTTATGATGGTCTTTTTCTCAACCCCTCCCTGCAGAAATTGTGGATTTTTAGACTTAATTCTTAGGCTTCGCTGTGACCAAGCTAATTTATCTGCTTTGTGTGGCAGCTGCCCTGGTGTGGCTCTTGGTAGATCTTTGCAAAGATAAAAGTTACAAGACAGACATGCCCATGATTTCTCAGCCTTCTGAGAGATTGAGGACTCCAATCCACAGCTGCTACAAGACAGGAGTGCTTCTTATATACTCAGTCATCCCTGTATTTATAGTAAAAAGACAACTCGCTGCTTCTTACGTGTTTCCTACAGATGCTGACAGTGTAAAAAAAAAGGCACACATCACACATTAAAAAAGAAAAATATCTCATTCTTCAAATAATGAGACTGAAGTTCTCAAGAACATAATTTCTATTACTTTAGCTCAAAAGATATGGTATAGCTACCAGCTGTACCATAAGAGAACTGAAGAGGACATATGCTGTATGTTGAAGTGTTACACTGTTATCTGTTGAACAGCAAGGAGTTTAACAGGCTCAGAGCAGATGAATATTACTAATCACCTGGAAAAAACAAAAGCAAATCAATATACTAAAGAGTTTTAATTCCAGAGCACATACATAAAAAACACCACCCTAAATATGAGATGCTCAAAATATCTATTCAGTTCCTGAGGGTTGGCAAGGATAAGTATTTGAGAGAAGACAGACAAACGAATCACAGCTTTTTATATACGATCAGATGTAATTACCAAGGAGCAGAAAAAAGGTACTTCCTCAAAGGGAACAGCTTAGTCAGCAGGCACAAGTCCACCTCATCAAGGAGAGCACTGTATTGGGCGGGGGGAGGAAATGTTTTTCACTACCATCAGCTAGATGGTGCTGCTAGGCAATAATGAGTATCACCATCCATAAAGTACCAGTGGATCAAAAAATATCCATTACAGAGTAAAGGCTGTTTATTTTATCCAGAACCACTACTTCAAGAGATGGATGTGACTTAGGAAACCAGATCCCAGCAAGCCTACTCATCCAAGATCATATGAGAAAGGATAAAAGAAACAGTAAATATCTTAATACAAGCAGAACATGCTTTCCTGAAGCAGTGTGAAGTTTGAAACCCCAGAAACAAAGCTTAGCTGTTCAGCCAAGACCTACTAAGACTATTCAGTACCTTCTTTTGCCAGTTTTATAACTGTGCCTGAAGGCAGCTCTAAAAACCAGAATACAGAAAAACACGGCAATCACCACAACAGCCTGGGAAGACACAGGCACCCCTGTGCTGTAAACAACCATCTTGTTCTAAGTCACTGGTAAAAACAAGTACAGTGGCCTAATTTTTTAAAATCCTTATTTGTGCCTTTTTTATTCAGATAAACCCCTTTTGGGGGGCTTCCAGAGCTGATTAAAATTAAGCTAAAACCATTATGTCTAGCAAAATGACAAGTAAGTATTCATCCTTCTACTTTGTTCCCAAACTTCATGGGTAAAGTTTCTCTTATTCCTCTTTCTAATTTCAAGCATACTGCATAAGCTAAAAGCTTACATATCGCACTGCCAGCACTAGACTAAAGTATGACTGGACTCCTCATTCCCTTGAAAAGAGTTGTCTTTAATAAGCCAGACACATATATTCAGCTGTTTAAAGTCATACTGTATGTCTTATAAACAGTCTCCTGTGGCAGTGTAAGCAACTAATGCCCCTCCCCTTCCAAGTATCTGGGGTAATGAGCACTAGTTAATGAAATAGAGCAAACTTCCCCATGAGCCCTCTACCTGTTTCCAAGCATCTCTTAACACTTCACAGCAACATTATACTAAAATAGTAATATCTCCGCTTTGCTTTAAGACCAAAAATACTGCAGTTACTAGAGGACAACATTCATTTTACATTTCCTCTACATATTGTGCAAAACCACTGCAACTTTATGCTGCTTTTATACCTGCATACATAAAACCAGAAGAAAACAGCTCTCAGTAACAGTAACTAAGACAACAGAGCAAGAGCAGAGCACAAAATAGCATCAGGTAAGTATCTGAAGCAATACGTCTCTAGACAGGGCTACTGCTATGCACATAGGCAAATACAACTAAAGTAACTGCAAAAGGTCAGTTCTACTCTACGTTTAAATGGAGAAAAGCTGATAGTCACATTTGTGACAGAACAAAAAGGAAAAAAAAAATCAAGGCAGCAGGAAAGTAGAGTTTCCCTGGTTTGGCTTAAACTGTACAGTAGGCACTGATATTACACACTGCAAGATGATACAGGAAACTTCTTGATGGTGTCACTGGTTCTAGGTGACGGAAACTCATTAAAAACTGACAGCTGCACTTCCCAAGAGACAGAAATGTTGTTCACTGTGTGCGCTGTGACACTATTGTTTAACATCTGTGTTGTGTCAGGGCCCCTTTACCTCACTTCCTCCCCACCCCCCTCCTCCTCCCCCCTGTTATTTTTTTTAAAATATGCCTCACAGAAGCATTTTTACATAAGCTTCAGTCCCAAAATGCAGTCAGCTACACACCAGTGCTATCAACTGTGCCTATTACTTCAGAACAGAAGATGGTCTGCAACGCAGAGCGCTCACTTGCACGGAAACAGGTTTGAGAGACAAACATCTAGGCTCTTTCCAAACGCATTCAGCACATTTCCAACTGTTTGGCATGAGAAGCCAGTAAGAGCCAAGGGACATCTTCCACATTCAAAACAAGGCTGCTTTTTGCCCTATATTCTCTTAACTTGTTTTGAAAATGGACAGAGCAAATCTCCAGTGCTACAGAAAAACTGACAACTGTTTTATGGAAGTCAACCTCATCCTTCCAGAAATAATGATCTCTACAGGGATTTCTTCAAGCTACCACATCTTCTTGCTGAGGCTGAAATGTTAAAGCCTTTTTGCTATTCCAGTAGCCAGGGGAGGAAGGCAACACAGGAGAGAGAGGTCCCAAGTGGGAGTTCTTGTGGAGTGGCAGGCCTGCCAGCACCTGGCTGTAAGTGCCACTTTTCAGGACCGTTCACACCAAAAGCTTATCTTGCTCAACAGCTTGTTACTGCCAGCAGTATGATCAGATAGGTAAGAAAGTACATATGATACTTGGCTCCCCACATATGGTCAAACTTAGGGCGCAGAAACCTCCTCTTTTGCTCATGCTAGCTTTTTAAGTACAGCTCTTCACATAACATAAGGCAACTTTGTATGATATCAACATTCTACATTTAAAATGCTTTTTTCCCCTCCTGTGCCTGAACAGTTGTTCTGCATATCTCTACAATTATACAAATCTTTTAAAACTATACTTAAGCTTTAAACCGTGATGTGCTCTGAGAGCTCCTCCTCAAAGCCAGGACATACTTATATTTCACTTAGTATCTAATTTAGTATCAGTTGCCTGTAAGTTTTCCAAGTCTCCAGGGCTATGAATATTCATCAGTATCTGGAGATCTGTAAGATTCATTCTCTGGATTCTTTACAAGACTTGGGATAACCTGCAATCCTCCACAAGTGAAGAAGCCATACAAGTGTAATTAGTCCTTTTTATTAGGAAATTCAGAACATGTTCTAGAATCTGAGCTTTAGAAAGACTCTTCAAGAGATCTGTGAAGTCCCTCTGGACTAAAGAAAACAAGTACTATTTACTGCTTTGACAGAATGTTCCAAGAGCAATTGTTACAGCAGTTACGGACCCAGGCAAACTGCAAGCACACTGGCACTGAAGGATGGACACTGAAGACCCTGCCAAACCCCAAAGCCATACTGAGGCAAGCCTGTCAGCAGATGGTCGTACTCTAAAGCACACCCAGAAGCCTCAGTCTCCAAGCCTGTAAGAAAGGACTATGGATTCCTCAGGAATTTCTCTCCTCATTAACATACAAACACTTGGCAGAACAAAGTCTAAATAAACACTCATTGTCTTCAATACATTTTCCTTCAGCTCAATTTGAGGACTTATTGGACCTTTTTGCCCCTCAGCCTGTTAAGTTTGGATTTTTTCCTTCAGATTTGTCACCAGATTTATAAAATAAAGCAGTTGTAATGAAGTTGATGTCACAGCAGAGCTGAACTTGCACAGATAACCACTACAAAGAGAAGTTGCTTTCAGTGTGGTTTTCTTTATGTGGCTCAGGGCCCAGGTTTTCTGATCTTGAAATGGCCATGTCCAACAGGAAATCAGCCCATGCCAAGGTAGCTCTTGTTCATGAGGCAGATACAGCGGATGCATTCAGAGTTGAGATAACTTCAAAGTTCCTTCTCAGGAAGGATTTAATTCTTCTGACAGCGTAGCCCACAGGGAGGAAGTGACCATCTACCTAAGCCACTGCAATAGCACAGCAAAGCACTAACACTAGGGCAAGTCAGTCATAGTTTCACTTTTGATGGATTTTTCTGCTCCCTCCACCAGTCGCATTCACACATCAGGAATGCAGGTAAAGAAGTAAAGGTTTTAAACCAGACAGTCCTCAAGCTTCACAATCAAATTCCTGCATCTCCGACCCTGCTTTTAAGTTTTTCCCCACTAATATGGGGTTCCTACTTGAAAATAAACTGTCATGCCTTGTGGTCCCTCCAAACAGCATACATGGAAGAGAAGCAAACGTGTCAGTAATCCACAACCCCAACCAGCTGTACATGTAGCTAAGATCTGCCTTGTTATTAACCCTTAAAAGACTCTAAAAACATTAAAGGTATTATTTTCCCCTTGAGCAAATGAAGTGTTATAACAACCAATAAGGCTTATCTTACATTCTGTGGAACAGACAGTTGCAATTCATTTTTTTTCCTCATAGTTTTTTACAGCATCTAAAAATCTTCAAATAGAAGCTCTGAATTCGGAATTTGCAACAGATCAATTATAACTGTTGCTCCATCATCCATGAGCACTCAGAAAGTAAACGTTCCTCTTACCATTTTTAGTAGAACCTAAAATCTAACAGTGAAATTCTATTTCAATAAATTTAAATGTCCATTTCCAACAAACTCTGGAAATGCAAAACAAGACAAATTTAGATTATTCAAGACTAAAGTTTCACATGGCAAAAAAAGAATTCTAAACCACACCACAGATTACTTATCTCTGAATTCATATGAAATTATTTACCCATTTCAGAATTAACACTAATGTCCCACTACCCAGTTCAAATATTAAAAACTACATTCCAAAAGCTAAATATGCGGTACACCTTATTTGTAGGAATTAAATGTATTTCATAAACATAAAATAACCTTCTAAGAAAGGTAATGAGGGAAAAAAGCCTATGCTTAAATAAAGCAAGACTTCAACAAGTTTACCCAGGCTGGACATTCAGTAGGAACCGTGCTAGTAGTTACCTCAAATACCCTTGCAGCTAACTGCTTTCTACAGCTACAGTATAATTGCATAGGCTTCAGTAACATCAAACTTGGTCATTTGTACAACCATGCTCTAACATTACATCTAAAAAAGAGGTAACACTGAAGTTAGTGGTCCAAATTCTCTTAGACTTCAGGACAAATTTAACCTTCATCAGCTGCGTCCCTTGAGAGAAGGAACGCCATTGCTACTGCCATAGTTCTGCACCACATTGGCCACACTGTATAAATCCAAGCACTCCTGCAACTTATATGTCACAATAAACAGTTGATTTACAAATAATACAATGCTGCCATCACCTGCCGTTGCTGGGCTGCTGTGGAGAATGTCTGGAATGGTCTGAAGGCTCTGACCTCTGGTCAGGAGATCGTGAACGACTGCGGCGAGGCCTGTCATGTGATCGGTTGGAATGATCTGATGCCAGCGACTGAATTTCTGAAATGTCTGTTAAATAAAAGTTGTTTTTTCATGAAATGATTGTAATTAAAATGGTGGTGTGACCTGCTCAAATGGAAATAAGCTTTAGCAGAGAATTTTTATGAAGATGTTACGTCTACATTTACTGTTTCAAACCCAATAAACTTAATATTCCTGAAAGAAAACCTGCAAGAACAGGAACTGCATCTTTTACTCCACTGTTTTTGAAGGCATGGATTTCAAGCACATTCAAACAAGCATTTACCCATATGACCATCTTACTCCTAATATTTCTCCTCCCCACCCCTCTCATCCCACATCTTCACAACACAGGTAATTCTCCCCCTTTGGGAATCAAGTTTATTTATACTCACCATCTCTTTCTGAAGCATTGGCAGAATGAATACTGTCAGAAAGATCAGGGACATTCAACAGCGTAGCTCGTTCATCTCGCTGAACAACCATCTTCAACTTGCCTTTTGACCTTTCTATGAGTGTTTTTGCATCTGCTAAGGACATGTTTTCCGTCACTGTGCCATTTATCTGGAACATAGTAAGAAAAGAGCAGATATATTTACTGGGGAAAAAACCTCCAGTGAAGAGAGTGGTTTTCTGACTGGATTTTAAAATAGCTAGAGATATTCATCAAATTACCACAATACAATGAAATACTATTGGACTCATCCAAACTATAACATAGTATATTATTTTCATCTTTCAAAGGCAAAGCCTCTACCACTACTACAAAACTTAAAATCTTCGTTATGTTTTTTGAACCAGCACTGCTATACTCTGAGTAAGGAATGAGAATGTTTTCTGCACCAACACATTTATAGCATTATCCTGAAGTAAAAATTGTTAGTATGAATTAAAAATCCCTAGGTATATTGATTGTTACAAAAAATCAAAATTTAACCTGAAGGCAAGTTCTAGTGCTGCTCAACAGCACAATTCCACAACGTTATACTGCATAACCGAGAGCAGCACGTGGGGCCAAAGTCCCACACCATTCCATATGTTTTCTATTATGCATTTACAGCGGGCATTATTTGTCTGACTAAGGCCTAGGGAACAATACCAAAAAAACCCAAACTAGCTTTATAATTTTCCTTTCTTCAGAGAGGCTGACTTATATCCTTTTTATCAAATTTTTTTAAAGATCAGTAAATTTAAGTATATCTTCTTCTAATAATAATAAAGCTATAAATAGAGTTAGAACAGTTACATCAATTAGTTTTCCCGTTGAGCAAACGCCGCCGCCACCACCACATACTATACCTTCAGTACAACATCTCCTTCCTGAATATTGCCATCTCTTGCTGCCAGGCTATCCTGTGATATCTCTTTCACAAATATGTGGCTTGCCAACCGCAGACCATACTCTTTACGTAACAGCAACGAAAGAAAAAAGAAAACTGGTGAAGCTACCGTAACAAACAGATTTACAACGCTGCTTCATACATCTCCACTGGAAACAAAGAGCAGAGTGAACTTGGCACATGAAGGGCTGTAGTGGAATTACACTATGGATTTACCATTATATCAATCTCTCTTCTAACTCTGCCTGTAATCATAGCTGTTGTTCAATAGCTTAATTTAGATGCTACTTACAATATTCCCTCTTTCAAACAAGAAAAACTGAAGACGTGACTGAAGCCTATGGAAGGTACTTGGCCACTGGCTACCAAATGTCAGGTGCACAGCTGGGGTTCATTTACACTATATATAATCCTTCTCCCTTAATTAAGAACATGTACTTTGGAATATGAAAAACATCACCAGAAATACAACAGCAGTTTCTGAAATTTTTAGCTAGCTACTGGTAAAATGGGCAAACCAACCCAAGAGCACTGTTCATACAGTCTATGAAGCCCTTAACCCAGCACTGACTGAAGCAGCTGGCCTTTAAAAAACAGCAAGAGAATCACATACAAGTTACCTTCGTTCTTCCTCGATTTCACCAGTGTTACTTTGGTAGGTTTTGCAGGCTGACTGGAAGTAACAGACCTTCTGTCTGATCTCGGTGATAAGCTTCTCTCTCTGCTAGCACTTCGATCTCTTACCCAGCTCTTCTCATGCCTTCTGCTGGCAGTTGGACCACCACGGCTGCTTCTGGGATCACGTATCTCTTCATCATAGCTATCATCCTCATTTTCAGACACTGGTTCAGGTTCTGGACGAGCCACTGGAATCTGAATTTTCTTCATCCTTCGGATAGTCTACAACCAAACACTAACTATCAGCCTCTGGCTGTGTAACGCTAATGGTGTTACAAGGAGTCAGAAAGCAAGCTAGTCCCAAAACTCTGAAGAAAACATATAGATATATTTGTGAATGCTCTGAATTCTTGTATCCCCATTATAAAATTCTACCTAATTAATACAAGAAGCTCATCAATACGAATTACTAGAAACCTGTTCTTGAAGGGAGAAGCATGTATGTTTTCACATTTGGTTTATTTCGTTTATGCTTCTACAAAAGGACAACAATCACAGCCACTGCAGCATAATGCAATAGTCTGTCTTCACAGAGCAGCATATTTGAATGCCCTCTCTCTTAGCGTAAACCCACAAATCAGCTACTGGCACTGCCTGAAAGTTCTTTTGCTAACATGTAATCTACTGTATACCCAGTGTGTTATTGACAGTAATCCCCCTCAACTCTGAAGCCTCCCAAACTTCCAAAGCAATGTTTATGCAAGCCACAGAGGAAGGGGAACATTCCCACTGAAAGTTCAATGTCAGCTTGCACTGGTGTAGACAGCAGTTTCCAGAGTAAGACCCAACCCCGTTTGCCATGCGTTATAGAACTGAACCAGGCTACACCGTAAAGCATACACTGAAATCCCTGCACCGCTCACCACACGTGGGTTTTGTGCAAGATTTATATAATTACTAAATCAAAGGCAAACTTTTCTTTGCAACTGCATTAGAACAGACAAGGGCCCTACCAGCACAAAAGCTTTTCTATGAGCCCTAGAAGTCTCTTTTCCTGAATTAAGAAATTGTTAAACATTGCCCATTTGTGTTGTATTTTTTTGTAACCTAAATCGCAAACTTCTACAGAAAGCTGGATTACTACCCTTTAGTGATGACTTGTTTTGCAAAGTCCAAAAGCCAACCACTTAGAATAAGCCTACAATATTATAGGAATTAAGGTAATTATATGTTATTTTGGCAAACTGTTTACTGAACTTGAGAAGAACTATGTTAGGGCCTGAACAAAGGGGTAAAGTTCTTCCAGTCTTTGAAAAACCTGATAAAAAAGTGCACTCAAGAAAGCAAAGAAATATTAAACAAAGCTGAGCTTTTGGCAAACTGAGAACTTTATCATAAAGAAGTCTGAAGTACCCAGTGACACATTACCCAAACATCAGCATTCGCATTTAAAAAACATTTTGAGCAACCCACGTGATAAACTTAATGGTCATCACTTCAGTAAGCCCTGTATGATGCTTCAGGTTTCAGTACCTTGGCTCATGCACATATTTCATCACAAACATTAAACACCACCACTTTTGCTCTAACTACGGAATTCAAGTGAGCTTAAAACTTCAAGATATTCACTTACAATTTTGGCATTCTTCCCACTTTTCCTCAGCTGCTGAACAGCAAATGCATGCTCGACATTATCCATTGAAACTCCATTAACCATTGCAACACGGTCATTTTCTCTAAACGAAAAACAATACAATGCACAGTATAAATCCTTCATGCCAAGGCAAGATACTGGGGAACAGGCATCCATGAACAAACTACCTGTATTATAAACCTACCCTAGGAACAGTTCCAGTTAAGTGTCTTGAGAGCAAAATAACCAGGAGGTAAAGCCACCACTGACAGATGAATGCCCCCCAAATCAGAACCCAGGTATAGCTTGGCACTTACTGCAGCAGCCCTTCTGCTGGGCCTCCTTTCAGCACATCCGAAATAACTATTGATGTCTCACCACTCTGAAAATGAGGATTATCTCTTCCTCCAGATATTGCAATACCAAATCCAAACCCAGGGGCCTGTAATGTAACAAGATACATATTATTACTTTCTAATATTTACATAGCCCTGATTCACATTCCTGTGTCTAGCACAGAAAGGTCCTATGGGATGAATGCAACTTTTGGAAAAAAGAAGGACCCATGAGCCCTGCAATGCTATGCAATCTAACCGGAGAGAGATTAAAAATAAAAAACCCCACCTTTAGAAGAATGTTTCAGATGAACTCACCTCTCACAAGAGTAAAATACAAGAGTCCTCATTTACATTTTTGTGTCCTGGGCCCCAGGTGGTCATCAGTAAGACCTCAATCTTGTCAGCACAACATGCCACGCCACTGTGTTGAGACACTGACTCAAACCCGTATCACTTCGTGCAACAAGATTTCACGTTACGGTATTTACCCAGTTTGACCTCGTTTAGCTCAGGAACTGACAGGATGGCAGCACACAGCAGCATGACTGCAGGCTCAGTTCTTCGCAATAATACCAAGATCACTTGTACCATTAAATACATCAAAACCTTGTCAGCACTTGCAAATCATCTGCATCTTAACAAAAGTAATTTGCTTCAATCTTTTCCCTCTAGGGTGACCTGCCACTACAGCAAGGTCAGTGCCTCTGAAAAGTTATTCCTGCTAGATACTTCAAGACACAACAATGCTTACATTTCTGCCTGGAAGCAGTGAGGGTAGGAAATAAACTTTCTAAATATAACTGGTTTGCAAACTATCTAGTTCTTCATTATTGCCCAGAAAACATTATCAGAAGGACATTACCATTCATATGCTGTATTTTGTTCAAGAATTTGAGATTTTTGACTGCATGCCATAGTCACTGGGTAGAGAAGATGAGGTTTCAACCAGTTCCTCCTCTCCGTTACACAGCATACGCTCCATGCTGGCAGACTTAGCCCTTTCCTTTTCAGAGTTTTTGACAAACGTGACCCAGCTTCAGCTATGAGTTTCATAACCTTACAGTGACAGCAGAAGCACCATGGTAGTCTGCATCTGGCTGTTAGACACATGACGTTCAGCTTTTCGGACAGCAATTACCGTTCAAAAAACCCATTTCCTATTTCCCCCCAAAAGAGAGGCCATAAAAAGATGGTCCAGAATAAGCCTGTAAGCAGTGAATAGGACCATGCACTACCCAAACGATGACCCGGAGATTCACTGTTCAGAAATTGATTTCCATCTTAGCTGATACTGCTGCCAGGTATGAAGACACTAAGTTGGTCTATCAAGTGTGGGGGAAGTGGGGAGGGGTACACTTCAGTGTTTCTCTGGCATTCGTTTCCATTCATTAAAAGGAAGACTGCACATCTTTTCAAGATGCATTCCAGCCAGATCAACCAGAAATCATGGCTGGGATTCAAGAATTACTAAGTGAAACCCTGTGCCATGCATGAGGCTCAGCAGCCTGAAGGATCATAATGACTACTCGTGGCCAGAGGAGGAGTTTTCTTTTATTTTTTAAATAATAAAAAGCATGGACAATATCCTATGAAAATATGTAACAAAAAACCCTTTCAAAATAGTGCTATTTCCCCTTTCTCATGCCACTGCTTCAACTTTGTTTTCCATTACTTCAGCAAACAGATTTCAATTTGCACTACATTTGGGTGGGGAAAGAAAGGGAGAAAAGAGATAAAGGCATTTACATCAAACTTCCTTTAAATGTTCTCCATCTTTCCTTAAACCATAAACAACAACAAATATCTTAGTTCTCCACTCATGAAAAGAAATACAATCAACTCTAAGGCCAGCAGACTTGCAGAAACTCACTATAAACCTAATCTTGCTGTTTGCCATTTTATTTTTTAGAGTAGATTTGCAAACCAAATCACCAATACTGAAAGTACTAGTTTCTTACTTTAATATTCTTTTCAAGAAGCCCTGAAACAAGCCAGTCTCACATACACAGCAGTGGAAAAAAGACCACAAGTCAGAGAAAGGCTTCTAATAACAATCAAAGTTTTAAATACTCCAAATGACAAAGTTCAAATCAAACCCTCATCTTTTTGAAAATTTAAGAGCTCAAATAAGAAACCTTACAGTAAACCTCAGCCTACTACTTCTCATTTTATCCTGCTGCCTCCCATCATCTTGAGAAATGTTAAACTGAACTACCCTCAGAAAACCAAGCCTAATGTCACAAAATAGCCAGATGTTGACCGCTACAGATTATAGAAGACAGAAAATTGTATCTTACTCAAATTACATTTTAATCGATCTGCGACATCACAAAAATCACCTGTCATGTTGTAGCGACAATACAAGAGAATAACCTCATTTCAGTTCTCTGGGAGAAGGAGACAAACCTAACACAGACACACAGAACTTGAGTTTCAAGTATGAAGAAACTCACATCATAGATGAAGTGCATGGCTTACCCTTCAAGTCCTTGACAGTTAAGTATACCAAACCAGAAGATCCCTCAACGAAAGCTAAACTGCAGCTACCTGATAAGCTTAAACTTGAGACTGACTCAATCTCTTAAGAGCTACACAGCAGTCCAGGAAGTTGGAACAGCAGTTTTGGAACAAAAACTCCTGGTTAGAAGTTCAAGCCTGTCCTCCTCCCAATGAGTTTCTCCAGTCTTTTTGGCAACAGCACTGGAATTGACCAACTACTGTGTGAAATCACAATACAATCAGACTGCTTAAAAGCTTTATGATACCTTAAACAGATGGATAAAAAAAAAATCTGATTTTTGAACCATATCAAAGTGCCTGAACTGACACATGCATAGAGCAAATACCGGGGTTAAGTATACTCTGTCCCCAACTCGTAACGACATCTCTGGCAAGTACAGGTCACAGTAAGAAACCCTTCAAAAGAATTGAGCAAAGCTGCATTCTTCAACAAGAATTCCCTATGCAAAGCACCTCCTTCTTTTGCAAGGCTCATCTCCCAGAGTTTATACACCCTACTACCCCTTTTTAAAGGGCCATTACAGGATCAAAACATGTTCAAAAAACTAAAACATCTGTCTTTTCAAGGTATGCAACAACAACACCTCTAACCTACCATTAATTGGTTTATAAATTAATAACTGCCGCCTATAACAAGGCTGAAACGGTTTTAAGCGTTTAAAGCCTCAGACAGAAAGAAGTTAAAAAAGCCAACTAGTACACTACACAGATAGTATACTTTGGAGTGCCTGCTAATGTGGTCATTCTGGGTTTGTGGGGTTTTTTTTCCTTCTTCAAGAAGAAATTGCATACAAACAATGTCTGCTTTCCTAAAATGTAACTGTTTCTACCAAAACTGCTTTTGTTTTTACAGTTGTTGGCTACCTTTATGGAGCCGAAGAAGAGTTACAGGAATCTTACTCTGCCATACACAGGAACTACAGTTTTAAGCCTGTGCCGTTCTTTACATAAAAGTCTCATTGCCGGAATTACTAGCAGGACTAAAACGAGTCTCAGAACAGGAATAAATGAAGTCCAGCATATTTTAAAAGTGTATCTGCTGACACACACACACCCCACTTAACAAGCTTTCCTCCCCAATTTTTAGGGTTTCTCATTATACCAGATGTTAATGGTCCTTACTCCTTAACTAGGTTTGATCAAATACCATTAATAAAGGCCAATTAAAGTGGAAAATAAAACCAGAGTTACACAGTTTATTTGGGGCACTTGGAGGGACAACAGATCTGCTTGCCACTAAGCAGGTGCTTCTGAAAAGAAAAGAGTTGATCTGGACTGACACCAACTCCAGCCTTCTCTGCCTCTCCTAGGGGGACTTACCAATGTTTGACAGATTTTTTTTTTGGATCAGTTTCTTTTAAAGACTTGTCCAGCCTCATTTTTGAGGGCAAAAACTGACAGAATGTACAAAAACGTCTGGTGAATCCCAAAAGCTTCGCATGTATACCAATAAAACAGGAAATCAGTAACCTGAAGTTTGACTTGCATCTACCCCACAGAAATTCAGCACATGTAAAGTGTCCTTAATTCCACCTTTCACAGCCAGCTTGGTGCCCTGAGCTAAGCCAAAACCAGAGGGACTCTGTGTGCCTCACTAGAGAAAGCAAGTTCAGTTCTTCAAAATGGGGTTTTTTGTGTCTGACAGGAGATGGTCTCTAGCAATTCTGTAGCCAAGCAGAGCAGATAAACTAAACCAGAAAATATTCTACAACCACTCAGAGTGGCATTTTGAGCCTATTCCAATTCTATTAACTTCTAAATGTCTTTGAAGATAACCAAGATCTGGATGCCTTTCACTCCTTCCTACTACAGTGAAGTAGCCTCATTTACTTGGTGATCTAACAGCACAATTTCATAAAAAGCAGAATCAACCCCCCCCCCAAGCAAATATGCAATCACCCCCTAAATCCTCTTCCCTGTACTAAGGATAAATTCTGCACACCAATTGGCTTAACAAGACCAAACTCTTATGCTAATGTTATCAGGCAAATGGAAAACACTGATAACATTCATTTACCCAACTAAAAACAAAGTTAATAACAGTACATGCCATCAGCCTTCAACATCTGAATGACAGACTCTGTTTTTTTCTGCTAAGAAAACAGCCATTTCTAGTTCCTACTTATTACTTCAAAGTTTGTTCAAGGTAACATCACATTGCAGCATCTCCTTGTTCCCTCTGAACTCATCTTCAGATTACTGCTCCAATTAACCACAAAATTATCCCCTTCAAGACAAACGAAGCTATTACTAACTTACTAGCCAACTTTGTATTTCTAAAGCATTTTTTGCTTGTTTTTGAATGTAAGGCGGTACTGATTTAATCAGTAATGAGTTTAAAAAAATAAAAAATATCTCCGTTTAAACAGGTTCCAGGGATGCCTGGACAGTTTCAATAAGAAAATAGGGCAATTATATATAGAAATGATACTTCTTGCTCAAGAACTTGTTGATCTAAACATTTTTGGAAGCCTGAAGAAAACCGTAGGTAAGTATCGCTACACATTTTTGGTTTTACTTACACTCGGCTTTCAACATGTGGCTGCAGGTAGAGCCAGGGTACTTTGTTAGACAGGCTTCTGGTCAAACTGAGCTGCTCTTAAGAGAGCAGAGACTCACATGGCTATTTTGAAGCAACAAATCATAAGTTCATACAGAGAATTAACGTTTTATCTGATCAGCTCACCAATTCGTACATCGATCTGATCAACACTGTATTTCTAAAATGCCTTGATTCTATGCTGAGTAACTGAAGGCAAATGATGTAACTTGCTCCCTTGAGAGAACTTTAGTGTGTCTGCCTTTTGTTGGAAAGGATTCATCTACGTGGGCCATAATTCCATGGTCACTAAGCAGCTGGCAAAAATGGCACCCCACTTTGTTCTCACTTCCCCTAAACAACTCATTCCTTACTGCCTCTTACACAGCTTCACATCAGAAACCAATTTAAGAGTAACTCAAGTAAGAGTCAGTGTAAATATAAAAGCCAACTTTATGTGTACTACTGATTCTACTACACATTCCCTTGTGTAAGGTGCACATTCTGAGCACCTCAAAAAACAAAAAAATCACTATTTTCACCACTAATTAAAGAAAGCAGCAAGCAAATAAGGTGAGCAAATAACACATTTAACTATATTGTTTTATGCCCCTGAAAGAAAATGTTTTAAAGCATTTAAGTATAGTTACAGCACAATCATTAATGAATACTCAGATGTCTAACTACTTTCAGTTATGTACAGAAGTAATCTAAAGCTTTGTTTCTGGCATAGCCATTTGTAGGAGGGCTTATCTCTGAAACCCAACAAATAGAACTACTATTACATGGAACTTTTACAACACTTCTAAATTTAAACAAAGGAGTATGACAGTTTCCTTCTCTTTTACTTCCTGACATCTGGCTTTTTCCTATTGTTTTCAAAAGCTAGCAGTATCCTGCGCTGGGCATACACAACCAATTGTACAAACTTACCCTGTGAAGAGTCACTGTGTGCTGTTCCCATATAGCTGTTTCTTCCATTGTTGTGCTCTAAGGAGAGAAAAACCAAAAAAATTAGACTTCACTGTCAACAGCTGTACTAAACAACTGCATAATACCACAAATAGAAAGTTACACTCAAGAGCAACACTTTCATACTAAATGGCAACACAGAAGTAGGGATGGCTCATTTGTTACATGTTTCCTGTCTTTGTATGTCACATCTGAACTTCCTGTGCTCCTAGGGAAGGGGGGCAGGGAGAACAACAGGCAAAATATATTTCCAACCATTTTGACTTCAAGTTCTGAAATACATAAAGAAGTTGAAAGGGAAGGACTACAAGACGCATTTGTGATGTAGGCTCTCTTGGTGGCTTGCCAAGAGTACCATAAATGAAACTGGTCCAAGGCCCACTTCCAGCTTTCCACTGATCAATTGCATTTATATTCTTATATACTTCATGCCCTTGTGAACATCCCCTTTGCATTATTCTAACTGCATGCAGAATGCCACTAGTTCACAGCCAGCCAGCTAGAGATTACAGTACCTGTGCTACTCTATTATGCATACAGGTCACATTTAACAGGCTCCCCAGTTCAGCGTAGGCTACTTTGGTGAACAGTAGCAGCAGAAACAAACAAGGTCCTCTAAGGGAACTAGATTAAAGAGTAACATTATGACAATATTTACATATCAGCATTTCTGCTTAAAAGAGCAGACACGCTGCTTCATGTGCCACCACAAGCAAACACCGAGAGGGGAGGAAGAAGGAGCAGAGCCAAAGGCTTGAAAATGGGCAGAGAGGCAGCAGGAAACACACAGCAAACAGCAAGGCTCCTGGCTATCTTGCTGCTACATTTCCTACCTTTCCAGAGGGACTGCCCAGTGTTTCGTTCCATACCCACCCCTCTCATAAGCAGGCAAACTTCCAACTAAAGAACAGAACCAGAACATGAACATCTCTGCAATATGGGAGTGTTTGTCTTATTTTTTTTTTAAATTCTACTTTACTCAATTTGTTTCAGTTACAGTAACTCAGCCACTAGAATAAAAATTAATCCTAACTTTTAACCCAGTCCTGTATCATAATAGAGAACAGCAGCCGTGTTTACTCTCCCAATCAATACCTCTGAAAACCTGATCCCATTTCATAACATCAGAATTTGCAACTGGGTTTAAAAAGCAAGTTCTTCGCATGACCCCTGAAAGCTGTGGGGTTTTTTCCTCCACACTTGGTGCTCGTTTCTCTTTCAGGGTTCACTTCTCCTGAAAGTGCTGGTGCAACTTAATTGGGATGTATTTCACTCAAATAGCTTTCTTCCCCCCTCCATTCAGTAGCAAATGTTACTCTTTTGCATTACAAATTGATTCAATTCTACCCCAAAATTAGATTATTTCTCTGCAGCTTTTTAAAAGCAGACCAAATATAAATTAAATCAGCAACAATTCACACAGACAACACCATCTTCGAAACTAAACAGAATGTTTTGCTTGCTAAACGGTTAATGAATACCGATTTTCTTCCCTGTTTCTGATGCTCTCATTCTGTCTTAGTTTTGGCAAGAGGTGCTCAGGCTAAACATCTCATCAACAAGCAAAGAATTACCTCTGCGAGTAAACTTCTAAAAGAAAAGACTTTAAGTAGCTCCTGTTCAGAGAAAGGTGCAACAGGAATCCAATAAAGAACTATAAAAGTTTTAATTCACTTTTTAATTGAAGCAGGCTACCTCATTTCTACCTGCAAGTATCAAAAAAGTTAACCTGGCTTATTTATTGCATTTGTCCTGGAATTGCCCCCCAGGCACAACGCTCGTCCTCTGTCAGAGGCACTTTCCCACAGCACACCTGAGCTACTTGGGTAATGAGGTTCCAGATTTCAATGGCTCCGAGTTCTTGTGCCTCACTGCTGGAGCTCAGTACACAGGGCAAGGTGTAAACACACCGACTGGTTCTGGATATGGCACAGACTGATAAAACCCAGTTTAACCAGCTAAACACTGCTCCCAGCTGGATCTGGGATAACTGGTAATCCCAGAGTCATAGTGGGATAACAACAGCAGCTAAGCACAATGACTAATTATAAATGGAAATTACCTATGTAACATGCTTCTGAGAACTGTGAGAAGATTTGATACCTCACAAAAAAAACCAGACAAGACCCCAAAAAACACAGCCACAAACTTACAAGCATTTCTGAAACTGGACAGGGTGCTCTGGTACTGACAGCTTGAGGTACCGACTGGGGCTGCCCTGTTGAACGTCTTTTTCCTTTCTGTAGAAACCCAGTCCTTCCACTTCCTTTGCTTGTTCTTCTCCATTTTCTTGCTCACACTATCTCCTCTACTCATCTACTGCTACCACCTCCCCTAGATTTTACTAATACATTCATTTCAAATTCCCAAGACTTGGAAACATCAAATATCCATTAGTTAGACAGCAAACAGGAATACGTTATTTTCATTCTTTCTGCATGCCCAAACAGTCCAATCCAAACCAGTGAAAACAGTTCAAAGGCAGCCTGAGGTGAGTTGTTGGCTTTGACAAACAGCTTATGTTCGTTTCTCATCTGTGAGCAATTGCATTCACTCACAAAAGGCTGAGAAGCCTGGTGAAGACCTGTGATGGTGCTCACCCTACTGAGCACTGACAACCGAGGCAGAAGAACTAGCTTGTGGTGCCATCAGCCGAGGTCCCCGTTGTGACGCTGCTCTTAAACCATACTCAGAGTGCTCTATTTTTTCATGCAACATTTGAATTTCAAAAATCTAAGGATCTAATTCCCATGTCTCCAGGAACAGCAAACACTAAGGTGTGGGGACAGACGCTGTAGGTCTGCAGGGATGGTGCCAGCCCTGGTGACTGCTGGTCAGCTTGGCAACCCAAACCACGTTACCTGCCACTGAT